GATTTGGAATCGGGTCGAAACTGGGTTGTGTACTTGAAAGGGAAGGGTTCATGATCCCGTGCCTCTCACTCTTCTCTCCTTTCTTCCCTTCTCTTCCTCCCATTGGTCCACTCACCTCCTCCTTCTCTGGTTCGTCCGCCTCCCATCAGATGGGTGCTTCCTTCCCCGTACCACCTTCCCTCACTTCTGATTGGTTACCCTTCCCACATGGTGAGAAGTTTTTAATCAATTTATATCTAAACATTAAATTACTAATTTCAAACGTCCGTAACTATACCAATATAATCCGGACTCGCAAACGGCTTTCACCTATGTGTTCGTACTAACGAGTACTACTCAAATACGCTAAAAGAATAATTCATACGTTTCTCTAGATGATGGTCAACGGAAGTCAAAGTCCTTACCTCTAGAGGCATTTTCGTCAATTCCCTCGATTAAAATAAATAAAAACGTAATTTCAGGGACGGGTTGTCACAATGATAATTGTCACATCCCACATAGCCTAGAGGTAAGGATCCTGTAAGCCTTATATATATATTCCCATCTCTACCTAGCATGAGGCCTTTTGGGAGTTCATTGGCTTCTGGTTCCATTGGAACTCCGAAGTTAAGTGAGTTCGTGCGAGATCAATCCCAGGATGAGTGACCCACTGGGAAGTTCTCGTGTGAATTCCCAAAAACAAAGCAGTGAGGTCGTGTAGGGGCCAAAAGCAGACAATATCGTGCTACGACGGAGTTAAGCCCGGGATGTGGTGGGGGCCCGGGCCGGGATGTGTGTTGGAAATGTGCCCTAAAACCAATCATATGATGATACTTTACGGACATTTCACATGTTAAACTAATCTAGTTTAATATAAAGGGCAAAGATTATTGTTTGAGCCGTCTCATATAAATGTTATATGCTTAAACGATAAAGTCCAAGGAATATGTGATTGGAAGAATGTAATCTAATGAAGTTAGATTCATGAGACCATTCTTTCGTAGACACATCCTAAATGTTCTTGATCATAAGATTGCCAATTGGGCATTGACAGTCCGTCAAGATCGGTACGTGCTATGTCTTCTCTCAGGGAAAGTGACTAGTCTCGAGTCATTGGTGTGTGTGACATCAAGACAAGTACGTAGGTGCTCAGTAGAGAATGAGTTCACTGAACGCGATCAACGAAGAGTTCTCATACTCATGTCACATGAGAACTCATGTTTGGGATAATGCAAATTAGTCCTTTGACCTGAGGCATCACAGTTGTCTTGTGGTTAAGTCCTTGATCTTTGATTATGTCAATGTCACCCCATCGGGGTGTCCACGGCATCGTTGGGGTTAAGCCACTTAGTCATGGAGGCAAGTGAATGCGCAACAAGGGATCTCTAACCTTCAAATCGTTTGAGGGAGAATACTCTATGATATGATTTAGAATCTCTGGCCAGAGTATGAATGAGATTTAGAAAAGTCGTTCTAAATCACATTCAAGGAAATCATATAAGAACACGAATCACATTGGATAGTAGACATGAATAAATAAACTATCAAACCAAACAATGTGGTCAGGAGTATTAGATTAGAGAAAGACCGTATTGCATTTGTAATCCTAAACTGAATAGGTTCTTAACCTCTTCTGATTAGCTTAGGTAACCATGACATACGGCTAGGTGTCACTCATGGTTTGTGGAAGCCCTAAAAGTGTATTATCACTAAAGGGAGAATTGAAAGTAAGTTTCAATTCATAATCGATTTGAAAGAGTTTTGATCGCCCACTGCCTCGCTAAAAGGAACCTAATGGATCGTACACCATATAAGGTGGAGATGGATGAAACAAACTAAATGAGTAAGAACAATTGAATAGTTTAATTATTTATGGCAAGGATTAATTAATATGTTAATTAATCAAACGAATAAGTTCGTTAAAGACCTCGGGATAGGTTTTGGACCTTAAGGCCCAATGGGCTTCGAACGTCAAGCCCATTGACTTAAGTTGTATGACAACTTAATGAATAATGATTCACTAAGACCCAAAAGCCCAAACAACCCCCCATGGCCGGCCATATAGAGAAAGGGTAGTGAACTTGCTTTAATTACAAGTTTGCCACTCAAATGAATAAAGGTATAAATATGACTTTATAGCCTTTTATTCATTAAGGGTTTGTTTTGGGGAAAATTGTGAGAATTGTCTCTCCATTTCTCTCTAGAAAGGCCGGCCACCATGGAAGTTGTAGCTAGCCATCTATTCTTCCATGGTCACTCATTTATCATCCATGCTCTCCTTGGTGTAGATCCATCCAAATCCATGGATCTAAGATGCAAGGAATGAAGGCCCTATCTCTTGGGTGATTAGCCTTTGTTTAAATACAAAGAGGAATCTACAAAGGTATAAATTTCAACTCACTATGTTTTGAGTTGATTCTTGGTTCACCAATCTACTAGGCTTTGAATTTCATGGTTAATGTTTTGTTTTTAAGTGCATGCTAGCATGATTCCGCCTTTAATTGTTAATTGCATGCTTATAGATGTTGCTTAAATGAAAATGTTTTCTCAAAATATTCCTTCAATGTGACACAGAGGGCTCCTCTAAAAATTATAATAATTATAGCCGTTGGATCAAATTTCAACGGTCCAAATCATTTGATCCTTAGGCTCAGTTTTTTAAGATTTGGAGAGGATCTGGGTTTGTGTATATCATACATGAAAACATAATAAAATTTTGAATAATAATTGCGTTCCTCGTTGGAGAATGCGCATATTTCATATTTTGTGAATAAGGTATTTTTTCATATGAACTTCAAAATTAAAATCTTTAAATTTCTTAACTTCTATTTGAAGATCATTCATAAAAATATTATTCACATTGAAGGTTATTTGGTTATCTAAATGTATAAAACAAATGGACAGTTCATCATGAATATGTTATTTGGTGCTTATATCATTGATTTCTATACGTTTGAATGATTAAATATCTTCAATTCAAATGAGTTTTTTTTGTTTTTTTGTTTTTGTGAGAATAGGTCTTCAAATAAAGATTAAGAATTTAAATAGTTCTTATTATAAAAATGTATGGTAATACGTTATTCAAAGAGAAGTTAAACGGTTTCAGTTATAAAATTTGTATGATAAATATACGTTATTAAAAAAAGTAAAAAAGTATGTGCATTTTGTCACAGCTCGTCCCGAAAATTTTATATCGGGAGCGTGAAATGACGGATTTACCCTTAGCGGGTATTAAGGTATGTGTGTGTGACGTTATTTGGTTTAACTTATTATAAGTTTTGGATTAAAATTTTGGCTTTTGTTAATTTTGTGGTTAGGGAATTAGATGAAATGGATGGTGAGGATTGGTGTTGGACACCTCACACTCCCTGTCCTCTCCCTCTTTCCCGTAACTCTCTCTCTCCTCCCTCACGATTCCCTGCTCTCTCTCTCACCCCGATTGTACGGACCTCACCAAAACCATCCAAAACTCCATGGATCGAAGCAAACAAGGGAATTTCAAGCTCATAGTGAGCTTAGTGAGGTCCCAAGGAAGCTCGGAGTGCTGCGTTTGAAGGTTTTGGACGTCGAGATCACTAGGTTCGATTTTGGCCGGTTTTGCTTGGAATTTTTCCGGTGACACCTATCCCGAGGACGAGTGCATCCAGGGACGTCACGGGGGTTACGACCCATCGACTTATCAGTGAGTGGGCAGTTTTGTTTTCGTATTACCTATATACTACTGTTTTCCCAGAAAATGCGTTTATATGAAAATATGATTTAAATTGCCATGCATGCAATTGTTGAGATATTTAAATTGATAATTGATGCATATATATGTGAATTGACGCGGTGGACGCACATGTGAGTCTTTACATCATTCAGACGATTTATTTTATGTGAATTGCATTGGAAGCTCATAACCTGCACCCTTGGTGTTAGTGCTTATATTATTCACCACACCGCACGCTCGCCTTGGATCCAAGTACCTGGATGTCGTACAGACCACTAGAGATGGTTCCGACATGCCAGTCGTACAGACCATTAGAGGGGTTCCGACTGGTGGGTGACCTTAGATTATGTGCACAGATGATTGATGAGAGAAGCACTAGAGCGTATTATTTCACCATCTTAGTCGTACAGACTACTATAGGTAGTTCCGACTTATGTGCAGTGTAGTGCCGTACAGGTCACAGTTGGTGACTCCGGCAAGGCCGTACAGGTCACGGTTGGTGACTCCGGCTGGATGGGATAGTGAGCTATAGAATCAGCCGTACAGGACCACTGCAGGGTCTCCGGTTGATTTATTATTTCACCTGATTATATTGATGCATTCATATTATATTTTGGCATGGCATGGCATATTCTTTCTGAGATGTTATGTTGATAGTTGGTGAGCGGAGTTTTGATGATATATGTATTTATATGTTTATATGCTATTTTTCTGGGAAAGTATACAGGTTTTACGGTGAGGGGTTAGAAACGTTTTAAATAAAATGTTTTTGGAAAATCTTTGGTTTTACTGACCCACTCACCTTTATTTTGCGCCCCTCCAGGTTCTAGTTAGTAGTTGGTGGCTCACGAGGTCTTTTTCGGCATTCTGACAGACGTTCTGCATGTAGGGCTCACCTGCGGGTGTTGTACTTTAATTATGGTCTTACTTGACTGCACTTATATCTACGCTCTGAATTCGTGTGTTTTACTTTATAACTCTCTCTTGTATGCTAGTAGGTTATGCTGCTAGTGGTTGGTTTAAATTCCTTCATATTTCTGTTATATCTTGCTTCCGTGTCGCACTTTTGATTACGTCACACTCACGTGACGGCCAGCATGCCTTGATTCTAGGATCAGGGTGTGTCACATTTTCCATAAACATGAAGTTCACAAAAATTATCCTAAAATTTAATTAAATAATATTTAATTTTGTGACAAACTTGATACCTAATTAACAATCATCGTTGTGAGAACTGATAATTAGCTTTGTTGTGCAACTAGTGCATTACAGACATCCTTTCGTATTTCCAACCAAAATAAATAAATAAATAAATAAAGTAAAAGTCTTGTGGGGTTTAGATAAATTTCAAGTCCTTTGCTTTGTGGGGCTTTGATAGCAGAAGTAGCGATCTGGGTTTTCTTCTTATTTGATTGGAGAGTTGGCGTACTTGAGTTGGGAGGGAACAGAGAAATGGCGAGTTATGGGGACGCGAGCCAGAAGATAGACTATGTGTTCAAGGTGGTGCTGATAGGGGACTCTGCGGTGGGCAAGTCTCAGATTCTGGCCAGGTTTGCCCGGAACGAGTTTAGCTTGGACTCCAAGGCCACCATCGGCGTCGAGTTCCAGACTCGGACCCTCCTCATCGAGCACAAGAGTGTCAAGGCCCAGATCTGGGACACTGCCGGACAAGAACGGTCTCTCTCTCTCTCTCTCTCTCTCTGCAGCAGTAGCGTACAACCCTTTTCTTTCGGTCTTCTACTTGGGTTTTTAGATTTGGATAGTTTGCAACAATTCCAGTAAACTTTCTGCTTTTTACTTTTTCCTGTTTTAGTAAAAGTTGTTAAGTTGCTTTTTTTGTGAGCAGTATGCATAGATTTCATTTACATCCTTTTAAGTTATCTTTTTTATTTTCTGGGTTTGATTTCTTCAAGTAAATTTGTAATGTTGGTAAGTGAATTACTTCTTTGTATGCTACATATGAATAAGATAATCACCTGAGGCTTTTAGATCCGTGTTTTTGAATCTCATAAGTGCACTTAGTATGTTGTGATATTGATATTGATATTGATATGGATATTCACTCAAACGATTAGAAATGTTAAATGCCAGGAATGAAATTCGTTAACATTATCGGTTTCTTATTGTGATCCTTGTGTTCTTAATTGTATAAACTTGCCACCAGTAATATGGTTTTCGGTTACAAAGATATGAAATCGTGTTTAATTTGTCTTCTACTTTTGGTCTTCTTGCAATCTTGGATATTGCCATGGATGATATAGTGGGAGAAGAATTGTCACCTTTTGTTAAGCGGTGTGAATAATTGCTTTCTTTGATTCCCTATATTTGAGAACCATGACACATATGACTTGTCCAAGCTTGTGTTTCTTGCCTGTTATCACCGATTTGGTCTAATGTTTAGTTTCTTTATAAAGAAGATAAGACTTGAGTTTATTAACTGATGGGAATGAATGCTGTTTGGGTGACGATTGTTCACTACGATGATGCACAGTTTTGGACAAATTTACTCCGATTATATTTGGTTATCAACTAAACCGGTCACCTCTGTCTAGTATAAGATGATATGTGCTGCTCATTATATTTCGTTAATTCCAGATTTGCACTAAAGGTTAAGTGTATTCACATCTGATGATTGTCCTTCCCTTGTGCTGTTTTGCGCAGATATAGAGCGGTTACAAGTGCGTACTACAGGGGTGCTGTTGGGGCAATGCTGGTATATGATATAACCAAACGCCAGACCTTTGACCATATACCACGCTGGCTGGAAGAACTGCGTAGCCATGCCGACAAGAACATAGTCATCATTCTGATAGGCAACAAAAGTGATCTTGAGAACCAGCGTGCAGTCCCCACTGAAGATGCCAAAGAATTTGCCCAAAAGGAAGGCCTTTTCTTCCTGGAGACCTCAGCACTGGAAGCAACAAATGTGGAGAACGCTTTCTCGACTGTGTTGACAGAGATATTCAACATTGTTAACAAGAAAAGCCTTGCTGCCAACGAAAATCAAGCTAATGGAAACCCTCCATCTTTGACTGGTAAGAAGATCCTTGTCCCAGGCCCTGCACAAGTAATCCCAGCTAAGAGCAAGGTGTGCTGTACATCGTGATTCAACAGGACCGTGGATTTATAAACATCGGATGCTTTCTTCGACATTCTTAATACTAGCAAATTTTGAGGGGTGTGATATATTTCCTTTGTATATTTTTCTCATTGCTTTGCTTTTAGTTTGCATCAGCTGATTAATCGCATGTTTTCAAAATTGAAATGAAGAACTAGACGAGCCTGATTTGGGTATGCCCGTTGTTGAACTTAAATCTGTAATTTCACATTCTCCCTACTCATGTTAATTCGTCGAAAAAAAGCTAAAACTACTCAAAACACTCGTCCCCCGAATCTACAATTTAGGGTTAAAATCTCACACATTAAATGTCGCAGCACTGTTTTGTATATCCAAATCGTAAAATGGTTTGTAGCTAATGTGGTTAAGAGCATTTATGATTACAAACTTGGCGATCAAAGCCACAAATACAAACATGCATTCGATGTTAAAAAAAATGAAATTCCTAATGAAATTCCAATTTTGTAGGAGGTAGTAAAGAAACAATATGAATTCCTGCCACATAAATTACAACACCTGTGTTAATTTATCTAATTAGAGTACAACAAGGCAAGGTTGGAATTCCGGAAGTTATCGCTTTACCCTCTGATGCAAGTGTGATACTTTCCTTGTCAACGTTCCTTTTCAATATCCTTTACGTCCTGTACCTCATCCCTGTTGACACTAGAAGCCTCGTCTTTCTTCTCCGAAGGCTCCTTTTCAGTTTCCATGCGCGCCAAAAGCCTTTCTTGCAGTTCTTGGCAGTCAATTGCTGTGATCATCACAGACAAACTGGACCTACCTTTCCAGCATCCAATGGCTATTGTTGACTCGTCGACTTCAATAGGACCCGACGTGGCTTCGCCATCTGCAGATATAAAGTTCTACCTAGGTAAACATAATATATATACAATGAATGTGCACTTATGGTCCTTTAACAAATGATGCTATATTACCTTTACTCAAAACTATCACACAGCATCCTGACATTATGCCTGATGCCTTCTGACTGAACGCAGAATCAACAAAATCAGCAAACTTGATAGATTTATACTCAAGAAGATGTTTAAAGTCGACTAGGGATGCACATAGAATCTGTTTGGTTATGTACGGAAGAATAAGTGGCAATCCTTCTGGTGATATCCGGAATAAACAAGGCGCCAAATTTCCTTCTCTTGCAGTTTGTCGTTCCTGTTGAGAGCAAGAATAAATTAGAGAAAGATTGTTACGGAATATTTAATGCTAGACACCAGAATGTAGAAATACTTCGTTCATCAGTCCAGGGCTTCACCAGAATCTCTAGCTTCAAACATGAGAACCCTAGGATGAAAATATATATACTACACACTTGGAATCCATGAGTGAGCGTAATAAGGTTTAATATTTCTACACCCAATCAGTAGGTACTGGCACTACTTGTCTCGCTCATTGTCTTAATTATACACACACTTAGGCTATCAGATTTAGAAAGTGATCAACTTATATGAAGGCATAATAATTTTGCAGAACCTTCTTTGATCACATATCTAGAAATTCGAATCGTATAACAGCCTTATTTAAAAGAAAAAAGACATTCATATTTGAAAATACTTACGAACATCTTAAGCCCAATAGATGTTATCTTAAGTTGCTGTCCAACGGAGAAATTCAGCTCAAGAACATCTTTGACTGACTTTGAGATGTAGTAAATTCTTTTCACATGATTAGCATCGGTGTTTCTTGTGACAAGGTGGTCATTGAAGGGAAACGATTCATCAATGCCATAGAATGTCTTTATGCTATTAATGGTAGCTTCATCTTTAAAGAAAACAACAGGGTCCACTCCTCTCCACTTGCCTTGACACTGCTTCTTTCTCTTTCCTCCAGCTTTCTTGGGATCTGTTTCCTCATCAACAGGCTCCTGGGCTTCCTCCGATACATCTTCTTCAAGCGTGACAGAAGGATCAAGCTCCAAAGATGCCCCATCTAGTTCTTCCTTTATTAACTCTACCTCTGAAGCTGCTTCTAAAAAAGTCTCATCTGTACCATCTTCCAAACTAGCCACCGTCCCATTTGTACCTTCAGTACCCAGATTTTGTAATTCTACCTGCGGCTCGTCATTTCTAGTGCCCAAGTCCTCTTTCAGACCATTAGGTTTCCCCTGATTGGCTGTTCAATGAAAGAAGAAAAGAATCATCGAAAGGAGAAAGGAAACCAAATTAAAAATAAACAATATAAAGAGATTGTGATTCTCTATCAGCAAAACCCAAACCTGGAGCACATGTCCAAATCCTAAACAAACTACAGGCCACACATATTGACACAACGACCCAATTTAAGTGTGAAACGCCATTTTATTTTAAATTCTTTTTAAGGTGCTCCCTTTCTCCAAAAATATCTTTGAAATGGATAATTAGGTGAAAATAGCATTTACTAAATGAGATAATAGAATAATGGGGTCATTTGTTTTAGGTCATAAAATTTATTCCGTCTGCTAAGTGTCATTTGTTTTAGGTCATAAAATATATTCAGCATTAGCAGACTTTTTTTCTACATAGGAGGGAAACAACCCCTTCATACGTATAAGAAGACAATAATACAGTAAAAGCTACCTCAGAGCACTTCAACTCTTTGCAGATACTTGAACTCACCTGGCAAAGCAGAATGTTTGTGGAAGACAGCAATGAAGAAAGCTCCTCCATTTTGATCATGCGGGACTATCCTCATGCAGCGTTCTAGTGGAAATTCAGAAACTTCCTCCTCTTGTTCGTTGGCTACAGTTGCAGGATCATCAGTTGACTGCAATGCATCTTCAAAATTTCCATTGCCACCATTCTCATGCTTTTCTTCCACTTCCATATTATCATTACCGTCTGTTGGTTCTGTAAAGCTTCTTCCAGAAGGAAACATGCTGGGAACAATGATATTTTTCCGATATTTGCTGACATTTTTGTGGGAAGGTAACCACCTACCCTTGTCATGTATCTGCATTTTCAAATGAATGAATAGGGATTTTGTCGCAAGAGAAAATTTTAAAGCTGCAACTTGCATGCAACACAGTAGGTGATGTTTGAACAAACTGTTGCAATTGAGACCACTATGCTATAAGATGTGTGTGTGTTGAATTTGACTCTGATGAGTGGGTGGGTGTGTATTGAATTTGATGTATTGAAGACAAAAATATTATAATGTTGACCCAACTTATACATAATCACGAAGCAGAGTCGAATAAAATGGTTTCACCTAACATTCATGGCGCAATATAATGCATTGATTGCAAAAGGATTTCTTAACCCCTGAATCTTATATCAGGACAAGAATGGAAATTTGTGATATCTTCTCCTTGACAGGTAACTCCGGATTATTTGTGGCAAATATACCTTATTACAGTTTTATATTATAGTAGTGAATATGTGACATAAACAATGCTTCAATCAGACGATTTTCAAAGCACTAGGATAAAATAGCACTACAAGTGATAACAGCAACATCCCATTCAGTAATTGAGAAACAAACTTATGTTACACAAACTAAGGAAACATTCTTATTCAATAATATGTTGTGCACATCAAGCTTTCACTATACAGCACTACCATAAAAAAGGTAAACAAACAACCAACCTTCCATTTTTTAAGACCTAGCCTCCGAACAAGATGGGGAAGCTCACTAGAGACATCAATAAGCTCAACAGACCCACCACCTCTCCGCAAAATCTGCAAAAAAAAAAAAACAAAACAAAAAAAACAAAAACAAAAAACAAAATACAGAATGACGTAATCTACCACTCATAGCAAGGTCATCCAAATAAAGAATGAATAAGCACAACAAAAAATCATGAAACTCTGCCACTCATAGCAAGGTCAAAAGCATCAAATTGAAAGAAAATGTTTTCTGATGTACTTTCATAACACAAACAATATTCAAATTAAAAGCTAAAACATAAGCTGAAACAGTACATGTCCACAATGACCGAATAAACAAAATCCATAAAATCAATTAATCGTATGAGGTGAAGAAGTGCTCCAATCCACTAATCAATTTGCAAGAACTGAAAAGGTCAAAAGAAATAAAAGAAACAATAATTGTACGGTTGGCATTCCATGACTACCTACTATGCCTACAAGCTCTCTTCAATTGTATGAATAAACCATGCCGTTGTCACTTATAAAATAAAATCTTTCAACCCATCAAGTTCTAAGTTAAATATTTTGTAAGAAGATAAGCAAACATATTACCTCAGCAACCACAGCTTCATTTTCAACTGGATTCATAGAGCAGGTAGAGTACACCATTCTTCCGCCAACTTTAAGCAGCAATAAACCTAGGATAAACAATATAACATATGAGAATAAACTAGTACGTAAAGCATAGAGCCATTGTTAATAATAAAAAAAATCTGAGAAATTTCTTTTCATGATAGATACCTCGCATAGCTATCTAAATTTGTAGAGGATGAACCCCATTTCCCAGTCCAGCATGCCTGTATATAAATAAAACAAATCTCATCAACCTGCCAAAAGTAAAATAGCGACTGAAAAATTAAAGTTATACCATTTCCTCCAGATATCAGGAGCCTTGCGAAGGGTACCGTCTCCACTGCAAGGGACATCACATAAAACACGATCAAAGATAAGATGGCTGATAGGTGGCTCCATTTCAGCTCCTATTTCAGAAGCACTAGACTTTGCCCGGCAACCAGGAAAGTGCTGAGCTTCATGATTTGTGACTATCAAGTTGGCTGTGCACATTCTTTTTGTTTGATGGATGAGTAGATTACATCTTTGGACATCAAGATCATTTGCTACAACCTAATTAATGGGCCAGTAAAACAAGGAACCAGTATCATAAATGGTAGTTAAATGAGGGAAAATCTATGTCACATGAAGGGAAAATAGTAACTAGGAGAATCAAATAAGAATTTAAAGGCAAGATAACAGCCTAAACTTGAGTCATTGACCGAGGAAAAGACGGAACTGACGAACTAAATCAGATATAAGGAATGTGAAAGAATATATAATTCAAGGAACCATACCAATCCATCAGGTAGAGATCCTGGTTTCATTGATCGGTGTATTACCTCAAGCAATTGGAATGTTTTCGAACCTGGTGCAGCGCACACTGAGAAAAATTGTAGCTGACGGTCAGTAAGCACTAGATTTAGTCTTTAAAGCAAAACAGAAGGAGTAACATGTTACAATCCATAAGGTAAATTTTTTTCCTTATAAAAATTGA